AACTTTACATTGTAGCTAATAAACGTATACCAAATTTTGACAAATTTAGTAATGAAAATAAATTCATATCATTACTAAGTGACGAGAAAATGTCTATTCCTTTAGCGCAATATTTAAAAAACTGTTTTAATACAAGACAGCAGCACCTACATAAACTAAGCCAGTAATACATTCCTTGTATTCAAATTATTATCTTTTTTTTTTATGCCTTTTTGTTCCCTTTCTTTTTATGTGGTTATTTTTCTTTTACTAATATCTGATTTGTAACCCTTTTCATCCCCTCCGGGGGATGTTGTGTGTTAATAAATAAATAAATAAGTAAGGGAAGCCATCTTGAATCCTGTCAGTACCTAAAAACACTTACCATTGTGATTGTAAGACTGTATAAATTACTGATTGATGGTTTGCTTCATATTGACTGGCCAAAAGGCAGCTTAAAGGTCACACATCCCAGGACTTAAATTGGCAACAGCAATATGCCTGTCTTTCGGAAGTCAGAAAGTGTATCACCGTGTATCACCCAAAACGATGATTGTGCGAGGAAAAATGTTATAGCCAGTATCATTATGTTACTAATCATTACATTACAACAGACTGCTAAATTACATTAATTGTAGAACCTATTTTACAGTAGACATTATAATCACATATTCAATAATATCCCCGTTTCTGTTGTGAGAAGCAGCTGACACTAGGGCTGCCCCCACCCTCCTAAAAATATGTCTTCAACTGACTAACATTTGCATTGTGTTAGGCCAGACTTTTTTTTATTCCTTGTTTCTTGAGTTTTTATATGGCAATTTTTTTTGAGGAGGGCGGAAAAAAAAAAAATTAAATTCTTTTTTTCCCATTAGATTTGTGTGATTCTCAAAGAATTGTAAGTGAGATCATTGATCGAAGAGAAGAAATGAAAAAAATGTTTATTCCATGTATAACCTTGTTTCTCATCTGCGCGAGACTTTGGTACTTTGATCATGATACTCCCACAAAAATGCAACTTGGACTTAGTATGCGATGGACGGTAACAAAAATAAAGATAAAAATAATATATATTTTTTGCAATTTTTTGCCGGCGCGAGAAATTACGCTGAAAAAGAATTTTATTTTTATTTCATTTAAGGCTCCTGTTCATTCGGCCGGTTCGCGAAACAAGGGATAATAAAAGTCTGGCCTAATACATGAAAAAGCCACAACTTTGATACAGTAGTCTCACAATCTAGTTTAAAGTCAATGATTTCTAAGATGTGTCATAGGGTTATTAGTCTGGTAAGAATCCTGTTCAGATAGTAGGTCAGCCAATTCCCTGCCTGTTAAAAGTAGAAAACATGGAATTTCTTTGTCTGATTCACTTTCAATGTGTATTCAAATATATCAGCACATGCATGGCGAAAAATTGTCTGTAATATCATAATTACCATAAAATCTGTAAGCCGCATCCCGAATAGAAGTCGCACCCAATCTTTTTGTACAATTAAGAACCAAAAATCCATCATTTCTCATATGTGTAGATGCTCTAATAGAAGCCGCATCTCTCCTGTTGCATTGTACCATTTTAGTAGAAGCCGCGGCTTCTAATACAGATTTTACAGTAGTCTCTGTTTGTATGTAGTCTGAAAACTGGGACTTGTAAGTGCGTGCGTGCGTGCATGCATGCATGCGTGCGTGCGTTCATTTGCATATGTATCTCAAACATGCCTGGGCTAATTTCACTTCACATACACATCACATCCTGCATAAGCACATGCATTTGTTTCATGATTCAATTAAAGAAGCTCTAATGGCGGCCATTTTAGTGCTAAAAATCCTTGACCAACCATGGCAACAAATCTGGATATGGTGTTATTAAACATTTTAAAGCCGGTCGGCTGATATATATTTGCTCAAAAAATATGTATATTCAAAACACTGATACTAATGTATTGTATGTAGTTGATGCAATATAGTAGGAGACACTAATGTATTACATGTACATTTCAGCTGCTAATCAGACACCCAGTCATTGGGTTCAACAACCTCTTGATGCGAATGGCCGCCCAAAGTCATGTCATCGTGTTGCACTGATAGCAGGTAGTTCTGAATATCAGAAAGTACAGTCATTGTTTGGAAGTTCAAATCAGATTTACTCCATTGAACGTATCCAGAATCCCCACCTATGGCAACAGTACAGTGCACAGAAAGATAAAATGGAACAACAGAATCAGCGTTTAGGGTAAGAAATATGTAGACAGATAATTAAATTGCACATGATGATATATGTTTTCTATCAAGTACTGTACTAAAAACATTGCAGGTACATACAAATGTGCCAACAACCATAATCGTCTCAATATCTGCGAAATATAAACACTGTTCACAACAGTCATTTGTTTTGAATAAATTACTGTGGTTATAATCATGTGGTTTTCTTCATATTTAATTAACATTGGTTACCAAGCTTTTTTTTCTAATATCTTTGTGTTCCATTTGAGGAATCACAAAGATGCACAAAAAGACATCTGCACAAATAAAGTAAATAAACTAACTGAATATTTTGTTACTTTCAGAGCTAATGAAATGGATTTATTTCATGGTACTGGAGAGGCATCACTTGTCAATATTAATGAAAAAGGATTTAATAGAAGTTTCAGTGGACGGGCACATGGTATGTTCATATCTGCTTTGTTTTATGCTGAATATAGGAAATCATTTGCCAAATTGTTTTTTTTTTCAAATATTTTTTATGCCAGGTGACAGTTCCGGACATTGAATGTTTTTTTTTCGTAAGTGCAAATTGCAAGTGCTGACACATAGTGCATTTTGCCACAGAAGTCATTTCCTATTTGGGACTACATGACAGGGCTGTGTGATCATCCCTATCAAACGGCAATTTTAATGCCCTATTCTGGCGTCAACCAGGCTCGGCCAACACAGGCACCTGCGGACCTTAACCAAGGTTCCCCCAAAGTCGCATTCGTTAGTGAATGAATCTCGGCCAGTGGAATTGGCCTTCCCATTGAGCTTGTGGCACACTCACCCAGGGTAAGGGTCGACCCTTTTGATGTTCAGCCTAAGTTCTACCGATCACAAGTATGATGCGACAACCACTATGCTACCAGTGACCGGTTGCCAAATTGTTATAACACTGTAATTGCCTTAATCTGTGAATAAAATTTCGATAAACATAATTAATAGTTGCCAATTGTCACCTTTGAATAAAAAATGTGGATTCACATTCAAATTTAAAATGATCTGTCAACAAAAAAAAAGTTCACAGCTCTACTATAATTGTCCCTGGATATTGTCAACAGTGAATGCTGCTGGACACAACCATTTTCATGCCAGGACTATTACGTTTGTGCACAAATGAAATAATCACCGTATGCAAGGCCTTCTCTGATTGGTTGACTAATCTGGCTAGTTGAAATCTTGTGAACAAGTTTTTTTATGGAAGTTGTTCACATCTTTGGGTATTTGCAGAAGAAGTCGAAAATAGCATTTTTGACCAAAAATGTCAAAATTATTCGCTATAAATAGGACAATTGAACATATCCACACAAAATGAACAAATCTGAGAGAGAAGCACCCAAGGTACCTTCCTAGAAAGTTTCACAGCTATACAGTTTGTGGTTTTTAAGAAGAAGTCAAAAATGTAAAGTTGACAACGGTGACGATGGCGACGACGACGAACAATCAGTAATACTATAAGCTCCGCTTGACTTTGTCAACAGCGAAGCTAATAAAAAAAATGAACATTTAAAAGAATAAAAAAAGAAAGAAAAAAAAGCCCAATAAGATCTGATTTTAATGAGATTGGAGACTGGCTGAAAGGCACCTGCTTTAGATATTAAATACATTGTACATCATTATATTCTAACACAGGCACAGCACTAGGTAATGGTACGTACTTTGCAAAATCTCCGTCCACATCAATGGGGTATGCAAAAGCTGGACCAAGTGGCAAGCGTTACATGTATCGTGCCAAGGTATTGGCTGGGGAGTATACTCGAGGGAGCTCCAGTATTGTGTTACCACCAGCAAAGAATCCTAACAATCCATTTGATGTATACGATACCACAGTAGACAACCCATCAAATCCCAGTGTTTTTGTCATATTCCACGATAACCAGGCATATCCAGAGTATCTTATTGCATTCAGATGAAATCTGTCAGTTCATCAAAATACAAAAATGGTTGGACTAGAGGGGGAAATTGATTGCAGCTTATTAGTTGCACTGTAAATAATTTCAATTTCTGATGAAATGTGATGGAATAGCCTTCTTTATTTTTTACATTTTATGTTTCTCAGCCAATTATGAATAGAATTTGGCTAGAAAAAAAATTGTTGTCATTATACTAAGAAACTACATGGTATACTTTATCAGCTTCTGATTGGCTTGTTTAGTCACATGATGCTTCACCATTATATGCATTGCATCATGGGACAAGCACAACACCAACAACATTTGCATCAAAACAAAAATGGCAAACACGAAATGTCAGACAAAGCCCAAATTGTATTATAACAGTGTATTGTCATTCCTGCATTTTTGGAAACTCGCACAAAACAAGGTATTATCAGAGACGGAGCTATATCACAGAATGTTCTACGTCGCTCAGATGCGTGCCATGTATTTCTGTGGGATCCGTGCAAGCGAAATCTGTGGAACGCCAAACAAAGAGCCGGTGAAAACAGCTAAAGTCGATAAAACTGCATAAACTCAACTTTGAAGTAATCGTGAACAAATAAATTTATATATATTACACACGTAGGGGTAATCCTGTTACACTGTTCAGAAGAGTCTCAAAAACTATCCCAATGTACATTTTTCTGAGACCCTTTGTTTTCACCGATGGTTGCCAGGTGGTGGAAATGCCCAGCTCTTTGCTCCTGAGAATACCTTGTATTGTGGAACACAAAATGCAATTCTAATTGGATTATATCTGTATACTGTGTGTGTCTTGACAGATTTGAATTATCCAGGGAATCCATAATTTACAAATTGCAATAAAATAAAACTTCTATTGGTTGATACTATGAATGTAGTTTTAAAATTGAAACAGATAATACATGTACCTGCTAGGTCTGATAAATAGTATGGTGAATTGAAAGTGCTAGTAGTTAATCATAGACTAAAATTACTACAAGTACTTTTGAATAATTCAAAGTGTGGTATTATTTATTATTAAATGTTTATATATTTTAATGTCGCAAGAATATTAAAAATGTTAGCAATTGTTGCTTGAAGGGTAATCTTGATTTTGCAATTGTACATCCTGGTACTTTTTACAAATTGACCATGAATAGAAATTTCATGAAGTAAATAGATAAAAGCTGCTAAAACTAATAAACATGTTATACTACTTCTTCAGTAGCTACAAGAGCGACCATTGCCGCAAACATCTAGCTATTTTGAATATTCATGATTGCCAAATACTACTATACTTTTTCAGGAGCAACTAGGATGTTTGATCTTTAGGTTGATTGACATTTGCCTTTATTCAACATTTGTAAGTTTGCTTCTATCAGAGGTGTCATTTTTCTAAAGTTGGAAGATTATTTCATTATTTGTGATCTTGCTAGTAATTGGTAATGACGTCATTACACAAAGTACGTATTTAGAGTATACATATATGTATATAAAGGACACTACAGTTGAATTGTAATATTCACTTTATACAATACTGCATTATTAACTGAATTATACATAAAAATCAATTGTCATGTCTTGTGACATCAGACTTCTCGTCCATATCACTTAATCGTCAAATAAAGTTATTTGAAATAGTCTTGTGTGGATATTTTGTGTTGGATTGTTGAAATTGAGCGTATACCCTGAACAGAGATATTTTATTGAGCAGTTTGCACTGTTCAATACGAGTTTTGATCAATTTAACCATGGTTGGGGTATTGTCAACTCATAACAACCAAGGACAGAATTGATTGATTATTTTTGTGTGCACAGACCGAGAACACTTGTGCTTGCCATTGGTGCTATGATACCATTTCTAGTACAGTACAATCTGTATTAGAAGCTGCGATTTCTATTAGAATGGAACAATGCAATTTTTAGAGATGCGGCTTCTAATACAGATTTTAAGTGACATGTCGGCTGTGGAGGAAATGTTTATCAACTGGCACAGGAAGTGCAAATTTGTACAATAAACACGACCAGTTTGATATGGGACTCGTAACAACCTATACAAAATGTGAAAATACATTGTTTTAATACATGAAATTCGAACATGCAAAGTGCAACGACCACCACCCTCAAGAAAGATGAATATTTACATCACAATATCAGTGTACACTGCAACAAGATTCATTTCTAGTCCAAAGATGTTCAAAAAATTGGTACAATGACGCACCTTTTTTTACTGTTATTTCTTTCATTTTTACAGTATTTTGGTAAAAAACAGATTGAAATAAAAACTTGTGAGCTCCTCGTTTTGAACTGATGTGTGTGCTGACAAGAAACAAATCATTTTTTTTTAATGATTTTAAATTTGGTATGGTGATAAATTATTTCCTTCAATTTTCGTGTCAACATGTTCAGTTCGTTTTGTTCATTTTCAAACCAGCTTAAAGCAAGCAATTAATGACAACTACCGAGAAAAAATCAGACATTTCCTGTATTAATTTATAATTTTATGAAATACACTAAAGGGTGGTGGTCGACTCGTACATTTAATTAAAAATGTATACTGCATGCATTGTATACTAGTAGGTTGCATGGGACCCCATAACAAACGTGACATGGTGGGACAACCACCGCCATTATCAAGCAATATATTCAACATTAAGTAACTTTAAAAAAGATGATCGGAAAATATTTTAAAAAATAAAATAAAAAACATACCAGTAAATATATATATATATATATATATATATAACATGCATATATATGCCATAACGCAGTGATATAGATGCATAAACAACGAAATACATGCAATGTAATCAACAAATGGCTCAAACTAATATAGTTCATTTCAAAATTCACAATTATAATTTCTGTTTAATAAAATATCCAGTGATTGAGAAGACAAGTATGGTGTTTATACAACCACGGCATCGCTGGTAAGGATGGAATAAACAGGTGAAAACTATTGCCATCATGGTTTACTTTTATAAGGCACATAAATTTACTTAGTTAAAAATATTAACTAATTAACATATACCAACCAACTGCATGAAAATAATTAGCATAAATATGCGCATAATTACCAGTGTAGTATTATAGTTATTAGGACATGGCTTAATATGCCCAATAATGTTATTTTATACTTTAAATACACATCAAATAATTCACAGATGCGAGAAAACCAAACATTTGTAATATCATGCATTTCTGTGAAATTCTTCACAAGTTTCATATAAAAAAAAATATAAAACGCAATAATAAATACTTTTTGGTTAATTATTAGTGATAAAAAAAAGTGAATAAAAAAACCCATAATTAGTACCTTAATCAGATTACATATGTATTGCATAACTGTAATGTGAGCAGGCAAGGATGTGACAAATTTTTGATTTTAATAAATAATTTGAAAATAAAAAAGTTTTATTGAATAACCAAACACGTACATGGGTCATGGTTCATGGTTTGCAGAGTAGCATACAAATGTAAATTCTACACCATTGAATATCTTCTTATGGAATATGTTATGATTGTCTACTATCGGGGTAAATGATACAACTATAGGAAAATAAACAACATGCGATATTGAGTAAATGGATCAATAATTTGTTACTTCAAGTTTTGGATCAACACTTTTGAGGTAAAAAACAAACAAAACATTATTACGTAAAAAAAAATTGACTTTGGGATTTCTGCCTGATTAGTTTCATAAGCAAGTAATTGCAGTAAGTTTTGGTAAGATATTGCTTAATAAACTTTTAATTGATGTAAGGGGACCAATGCATATCATTTACGATTATCATGCTTATTACTGTTGATGTTAGTACATGTATGGTAAACATTACATTATGTTATAGATGTTTGAATAGTACCATAAGCAAAAACCAAATCCTGCCCCAGTATCATTTTTGTTATCACATTGATGTGAGAATTTCAGACTAAACAATTACTCACATCAAGCATTAGGATAATGTTATAATCTGCCGAAACAAACTTGATTATAACTTCAAAAAGTAAGTAGTTGAAATGCTAAAATATAAATTAGCATATGATTCATAAACATAATTTTGAGCAGAATTAGTCATGCAAAAAAAAGTTTTCTTCTGTACCACTTATTCATAGAAATGGTTGACATGGATTTTACTGTTGGCTTGTATTAATCTGCTCTGCCATCAAGTGACATCAGGTGATAATATCCTCTATCAAAGCAAAAAGATGTGACAAAAGTTGACAATGGTAGGGAAAAGGTTGGTGATATGCAAATTACCTAATTAATAAGCACATATTATAGAACTATTTTGTGAATAGTGACAAAAGTTGACAATGGTAGGGAAAAGGTTGGTGATATGCAAATTACCTAATTAATATGCACATACAGAATATATACCTACTTTATGGACGGTGGCAAACCACAGGTACAGAAATTATTAAAACTAAAATATTATCTATACAGTTCTTGGAAGACAGATAAGTGTAGTCAAAAAGTGTGCACTCTACAAAAATATAAACTAGACTGGAATGTCATTTTTAAACTCAGCCTTGGATGAAAGAAATAATGTTAGTTAATATAACACAGATCTGGATTACATCAATCAGCCTCCCCACCCAAAAAGAGCGTTTTTACTTTCAAAATTCCTTATTTGAACTAAAATAAATAGTTTGTGATCAGAATGTACACTGTCGAGAATTTATTGAAAAAAAGAAGTAACAAAACTAATGAGTGAATAGTTTACCATATGTAATATGTCTCAAGGCATGCTGGTAAATGCATAGATACTAGGAAAACACAACTACCAGTACAACAAACATCTTGAAAGATGATAGACAGTGCAACATCTTTTACATATCCTGTGTTTAATATCACACGAGCATGCTATTTCATGCAACAAATGACTCATCATATTATGCCACATTTTTCCACAAATACTTTTGTATAACATCTTTGTATCACAGCAGCATATTTATCAAAATATCAGTGTTTTCCATGATATTTTGTTCAGAAAAGCATGGTAATAGTGATTTCACATATCCTTGTGTACAGCCGAGCATTACAGCTGCTTGCGCTCAAAATGCAGAATTTTATGGGCATTAATATGTATTAACAAAAGTTTGTGAATCAACATTTCAACATATAAATTTTAGGAAAGACATTGCTCCAAAGAAAACACTGCAGTTGTTCGTCCACATTTTTTTAGTGTCTATGGCAAAATAAAATATTTCAGGGTTTGTTAGGAAATGAAAATACAAGAAATGTATTACTGCATGCACTTGTGCGAAGAGAATTGTAAGGAAGCCCAACTCCAACTGGTGGAAGACCATTAAGCTTCAACAGAACTGTTCAGCACTGCGCAGTTTTACAATCTGCTTCAAGGCTTGTTTAACTTCAGGATCGATCTGTCCCTGTAAAAATTAAAGAGAAAATTTCATCAATGGAAATACAATCCAACCAGGAAGAAGAATATTCCAAGTTACACTCTCCAGTGACTGCCATGATGTGTGGTTGTGCATGTCATTTTTCCTATGTATGAAATAAACAGCTCTGAGACATCAAATCACCCATTGACACAGTGCTTCACTGCTAGAGGAAAGATCTAAATGTGCAAAAGCCAAAATAAATGATAATTGTACAACGAACAATTCAGTCCTTAATCTTTCTATCATCAGAACCTCACTTTTGTTCTTGAAGCCACAAAGTAGAGGCAGAGTGTGCACGCTAGAGGAAAGATCTAAATGAGCGAAAGCCAAAATAAATGATAATTTTACAATGAACAATTCAGTCCTTGATCTTTCTATCATCAGAACCTCAGTTAATAAAACTTGAGTTTCAATGATTCATTCATCAAAGTCCTTATACAAGTCTTTATACAAGTCAGAAAATTTAAATGGGGCCAAACCTAGGAAAAAGACAAGAATGTGTAGTGTAATTTCTAACTTACTAATTTTTTTAAATTTTTATTTTTTGCATTACTGTCGAAATGAATATAACAGTTATACTTACGAGACTCTGAAATAAATTTGTACTGATCACACACTTGAGGTATTTTCAATCATGGTTACACTTACCTGTACAGCACTGATTAGATGAGTTCTATAGGTACTAACAGTATCCTTATAACGACTGTCGGCCTCAGCCAACTGTTGCTGTAATCTGGATACTTGTTTCTGAAAGGCCTCTACTTGTCTTGTTGTCTGTTTTACTGTCCCTTGTTGCTGTAGAGCTTTAGCCTGTCTGCGTGCCATCTCTTTCAACTTTCGATTTTCAGTACATAGCTGATCGTAGGACTTAGTTGTGCTAGTTGTTGACATAGTGGGAGGTACACCATTGGGTTGTTTGTGCTCTCTTGCAGCTAAGTCTTTCAGATCTTGGTTTTCTGCCAGTAATCGCAAGTATTTGTGCTTCAATTCATTATGATGGATTGCAGTCTCCTCTGATTTTCGAATCCTTTCCTGCAGCTTGGAGTTTTCAGCCAAAAGTCCTTCAAACTTTCTGATATTATTTTCCGTCGCGGACAATATTTCGTTTTGCTGCCGAACAACATCTTGCAGTTTGTTCCTTTCTAGCAGTAGTTTGTCAAAATCCTGCGTATCCATCCTCAGCTGTGCTAAGTCAGCTTCCTGTTTACTTACTGTATTATGCAGCTGTAAGTTCTCATCAAGTAGTTCATCTAGTTGACTATTTTCGTGACTTTTCATACTTTGAATCGTCGTTTGCAGTTTTTCATTATGAAGCAACAACTCATCATATTTCTCTCCTTCACGTTTAAGCTGCTCCGTAAAAAATGCAGTTTGTTTTTCAAGATTCTCCTGCAGTTTTTCCGTCTTTTCAGTGATTCCTTCTTCTTTCTTTTCACTTTTTGTCAGCAGATCAGACTGCTGCTTAATATCCAATTGTAATTTTTCATTTTCCTGTGACACAAGACAATATTTTTCATCTTTCTTTTTCAACTCTTGCTGATTTGCATCCAATAGTTGTAATTGTCTCTCATTCTCGCTCATCAATTTCTGATTCTCTGTATGAATCTCGTCATATTTTTCATTTAACTTCAAAGCGTCATGTTCCAATGTTTGTATTTCCTGATTCTGTTTTTTGACAGTGTCTTGTAGCTGCCGATTGGTCTCTAGTATCTGCAGGTACTGTTTCTGTGACGTCACATCATTCTGCTCACTAATAGTGTCCATAAGACTGGCATTCTCTTCCATGATTTCTGATAACTGCAGAGTAAATAGAAGAATAAACTTTTCTGATCCAACCAGAAATCATCACTGGCCAAACTAGCTAGAGAATTGGCTAACTGCATAGGTTTTGACTAAACAGTTGGCTTTCGAATCTCGCTGGCAACTTCTTGTGGTCACGTCCACTCTGGGCGAATCTATATAACAGTAGGGGACAGTCGTAATATTTTAGGAGCTAATCAGTGAGGGTCTTACAGTTGGATGGTGATTTCACTTTTGAATATACCAGGGAATGTGTTCTATGTTCTTTGTGTAATGTGGTGTTCATTTCAAAGGATTGTCCACACATAAACAGCGTCTAATTTTTTTTAATGGTTGGTTTAATGTTATCCCAACAGATCTTTGGATGTGAAAGTTTGTTATTTTCTTCATTTTGTAGGAAACTGTTTCTCAACTTGTCTCTTTAGTTTCAAGCAGTGTTCAAGATGGCTATCCCCATATAGTAAATATCAGTGGATTAATCGCATTTATCATGTTATCACTTGTACGCCAGCTGACCGTGACCATTCTATGTCCTCTTATGCAATATAGACTCTCCCAAAGTGGATGCGACCACCATTGAGATTCAAAATCCAACCGTTTAGTCAAAACCCAAGCAGTTAGCCAATTCGCTACTAGAGAGTTTACAAATTGGCTGCCCCAATACTTCTGAAACTTGCTGTAAGAATAATGTGCACTCATGACGTTTTATAACCCTTTGAACATTTGTCCTGTCCTAACTTTGGTGCAACATTTTTCACATTTATACATAATTTTTTTGTTCACGCCTTCACAAGTTTTTGAACTAATAGACACAATTTCCAACTTGCTGCAGGTCATGAACAAAATTGTGGAGTAAATTTGATTTATTTTGTAAAAGCTAACAGAAATTTACTTCAGTATTCATAAGGTGTTTAATGTTTTCTTACTTGTTCATTAGTTTTTTTTCTGTTTCAATGTGCAGAGTTACCACTAATTATTTTAAATTCTTGTCAAATTCTCACAAAAAAAAAAACAATGTTTAATACAGAATAAAAGACAAACTTTATATTAATTAGTAACTTTACCTTGTTTGTGGTATCCGAGAGTTGAGACTTCATCTTCTGTACTTGAAATTCAAGATTTTCAACTTCTTCAGCATTACCGCTCTTCAATTCCTCAATATCTTCATCTCTGTGCTGCACTTCGTTTCTCAGTTTCTCAATCTCTTCCATCAACTGTTTCATCTCGGTGTTGGTTGATGATTTCAACTGGTCATATTCCCGTTTAGATACCGTGTGATTGGTTGGGCGATTAACCTCATGGTCGCTCACATTCTGTTTAATACAATGTATGAATTCAGACAATTTGTACATTGATACCAGGCCTTATCTTTTGAAAATGGCTCTCTTAAAAGCAGCGTTACTAGTTATGGTAGGAATTTCATATTTCATAATTTTACTTTGCATGTGTGAAAAAAAAACTAAAAACAAACTAGGCGAGTTTTTTTAGCTCTCCTTGGGGAAATTTGGAACAAGCAATTAGCTCGCTTAAAAGAAAAGGTCTGTGACACTGTTTACGTCAACAACAACCACAAGTGCCTTATGTTGCTGCTAGTTGCTGCCACAACATACATAACAATGATGCACATACCTCAACTTTAGCCTTTAATTCATCGTTCTCTATTCGTAACGCCACAATCTGACTTCTAAGTAAAGCTAGCAACTGATTATCAGGATGCTGACTTTTCACTTTTTTACTCTTGATACCATTGTTACCAGTACCTGTATTATAAAAACAGTCAACATTAAAATAGCATTCTGGGATGAGATTGTGCATGGACGAGAGTATATCGCTATTGAATGATAATTTTTTTTTTTGCATGAGTTTCAGATTTAGGAAAACCACAAAAAGATGGGCGACAGCCTTCATGAACTGGTTTGGTTCAATGTTGGATCTCGAAAATTTGCCTCATTTATTTTTAAACATGTTGACTAAAGTACCTGGTAAATCAAATAAATCGTCATCACTATCTCCCCAACTATCGTTATCTTCATTTTCTTCATCTTCGTACATCTGCAGTTTCACTTTGAGTTGTTTTAACTCCTCGCTACCCTCAAGTCTTTGCACTTTCTCATTTTCAAGTTGACCTTTCAATTCAGTCACCTGAAAGGAATGGACATTTTAATTTTAACATCGTGTATCATACATGTATATTTCTACGCTATCAAAATATCATTAATCATATCTTGAGGACCTGAACATGGCATAAAGTAGTGGTGTTTGCTGGTGGGAAATGAATATGCTTGATTTCTACCATACATGTATGTACCAGTTTGTTACCCAATTAAAAATAGCCAACAGGCAGCCATTTTGTGAATGTAAACATTACTTGAACTTGAGTACACACATGTCGGTTATTGAAAGATTCAATCCAATACCATATTTGCTCTATTAGTAGCACATGTGCTTAATACATAAATGATAAAATATTTTAATGATTCGATATACAAGAAATGCAATTTTTTGGTGTACGTGCACTTCTAATATGGTATAACAATGTGATAAATAGATTAAAATTTAGATAGATGGCTAACATCCACAATGAAGTGATGTGGGGACAGTGGTTGACATTGTCTGTTTTTTTGTTACTATAAACTAAAATCATAGTGCATATCAAAACATACCAGTTAATGTATTTAATATAAAACAGGTAAGCATCACAACAAAGTGAATGGACAACTTAATATAACAATCTTTACCTCACTCTCTAGTTCTTCAACTTTTGTATCATCCCATATTGAGCACTGAAAATCAAAATTGAAAATACATTTATTCTTTTAGACGACAATGTCTTCATAATTGCACAAGTGTGTTCAAAGAGGCTAAAAAGCTAAGAAAAAAACTTTTTCATGGATATTTGACCCACTTTTTGTGCAAAAAGTAATTTGGTGACCCTACATTGTATCTGATATGTTTTGATTGGAGCCGACTTTAAAATAATAGAAATATTTGTCATCTACTCTTCTACTATATATGTGCAGTAATAACATTTATTTTCCATCGTGCATTGCCCGGCCACGAAACGCTAAAAGATACCCAATGATTGAGCAGTGCAATAATAATTTCCCATATCATATTCGGTTCTGTTTGACCATATTTGAACAAACATGTTTCTTTTATTGATTTAAACGGTGTGCACTTCACGTTATTTTCAGCTAGTATGCATTTCCAGAGAAGACATTCATAACGGCTTTGTATTGATCTTGACAGTACAGAATTTTGTCATTATGTTGCAGGATTGACTTATAAATCATCATCACATTAGCTACAACTACAATGTAGCTGATGAACATGGGAAGATATTAATGGCTGAAATCTACGACCACAATCTATGACCATAAAACGTATAAAGGCAAACTCGTCCAAATCATATCCAGTTCATAAAAATTGGTCAGACAGTCTGCAATTGAGAGTAAATTGATAACTTACTTGCTGTCTATCAGCTTCCTGACTCAACTCGTTTTCCAGAGTTCTTATCTTCTTCACTGCATCCTTGTACCTTACGTTGAGTTTGGCCAACTCCTCGTTTAACAAGTCGTTCTCCTCCTCTAATTCCTGAAAGCAATTGACAAATGCCATGATCAATGTACTTTAATATATACCTTAGTATACAAATAACTAAACCACTGATATGCACAATAACATAACATTTAGCTAGTTTAAGTTGTTTTCAAAATCACCATATATGTAAATTGTGTCGGGTAATCTGCCTAAATATGTCTG